ATCCTGCCACTTTCTTGAATTCCTGTATCAGTTCTTGCAATTTTTTGGTGGAGTCTTTTGGGTTTTCTACATATAGTATCATGTCGTCTGCGAAGAGTAAAAGTTTGACTTCTTTGCCAGTTTGGATGTCTTTTATTTCTTTTTGTTGTCTGATTGCTGTGGCTAGGACTTCCAATACTATGTTGAATAGCAGTGGTGATAGTGGACATCCCTGCCGCGTTCCTGACCTTAGGGGGAAAGCTCTCAGTTTTTCCCCATTGAGGATGATATTCGCTGTAGGTCTTTCATATCTGGCCTTTATGATATTGAGGTACGTTCCCTCTAGCCCTACTTTGTTGAGGGTTTTTATCAAGAATGGATGCTGTACTTTGTCAGATGCTTTTTCTGCATCTATTGAGAGGATCATATGGTTTTTATCCTTTCTTTTATTAATGTGGTGTATCACATTGATTGATTTGTGAATTGAACTACCCCTGCAGCCCAGGAATGTCCCTTTCTGAGAAGAAGGGTCACTAACACTGTTCCAAAAGAAGGGGAAAAAGAACCTTGTCAAAAGTGGGTAATGGGAAAAGGAAATGAGCTGTACAGCCAAATTATAGACTCTGCATCTACTAAAAACGAGGATGGCTATAAGAAGCCTGTGGTGTGGCATAATGAGCCAAGGCAATTTGGGTTCCTTTGCATGTAACTGTACACAGTGTCCTCTGAAGCGGGCCAGTGTGCTGTAATCAAACATGGTATAGTTGAAGAATGGTGTCTGTGTGCTGCATCACATGATCACTCCACGCTGTGGTGCCCTGCCAAGACAGCTACATGAATTGTTCTTCCTGTGCCCTGGCTAATGTCAAAGAGGAGGCAGAAGGGCTTATAGCTTGTTGGGATTTTTACCCCCCTGACTATCTGAGGAAGTTGAAAACTTGAGGATTTCTTAAAGTCTTAGTGGCATTGTGTCCGTCTTATAAGAAAGTAGTTATTTTAAAGCATTTGGATGATAAATTAAGATCCCATCAGGGCAATGAGGGAAGGATTTAGGAATTAATGTTTTCATTTTGGGGAACCTGTCAGATAGGGTTGTTTGATGTCTGGTATGTGCTTCCCAAGTTGAAGAAGGTAGTGTTCATGACAGTCTCTTTGAGGATGCTTTTAACATGCAGAACAAAACTTAAATTTGCCTGCTGTTACGATTTCTACTGGATGTGGGGATTTGTATGCTGTTGTTGCCACAGTCGTAAAACTAACTTATTATTCACTGCAGATCTAAGTACCTTAGGGACTTGATTTCTCGTATTATTTCTGAATGGTCCCTGAATGTATGGAATTGGTGATGGTTTTGTGCTGTTGCTATTATATCTTTCCTGGAAAATAAAGTGAGCTTTTCATGCTTGAGTAAACACATTGATGCATTATGAAACTGTCAGCCTCTTTGAACAATTGGCATAAGCTCAATTATTCAAATATGTGACTCTTTTGAATGGCATTTGTGTCCCCTAATGCTTTCGTACAACCAGCATCAAGAAATTTCAATACCTTTCCTTAAGAAATTAAACCTCAACTGTATGATTAAAGAAATCCAAAGGATTAGTCCTTTCATTGAGCACTTTCATTATCTTATATAGCTAATTGGTAGCATTCATTTGCTGAGATTCATCATTTTATTGAAAAATATCTTTCTTTTTTGTTAAAAAATTAAGTATATGCATTTTCCTTATCACCTGAAATCACTTTTTTTCTTCTGTTTCCTTCCTGTCAACATGTACACATGTTTTTTTACGTAGTGTACCCGTATTTTTGTCTTTTTAAAATTATATTTGCATTGTAAGTCTTTTTGAAGTTATATGGCCTTTATAGTAATCATTTCTGTCGCTTACTCAATATTGAATTATTTAATAACATGCTAATCATTTCCCTTATTTGATATGTATGTTTTCCAGTTTTTCATTTTGTTGATAATAATGCAAAGACATCTTGTGCACTGTAGCTTGTTTTTCTTATTTTCAATTATATTACAAGGACAGATGCTCAAAAGTATCATTACAATGTCAGTGAACTTGAAAACTTATGTTCCATGTATTGCCGTACTGCCTCCCAAATGATAGTGCCTTCTTTTTGATTATAGACGTATACAGTCTCTTTTACCAAAAATAAATAAATAAATAAAATAAAATAAAATAAAAACAAAAAACTGACATTTATTAAATGTTAGCATCTTTCAAAACTATCATTTGGAGCAGCCTGTAATCTTAGTAGAGACTTTTTCCTTTGTAAAGTCAATTTCTATTTTTAGCAAAGTAATATATGCTAATAGTTTTTTTTTTAAAAAATCCAATAAGCCTCATAGTGTGACAGTGAAGAAGAGTAGCCTCTTGCCTTCCCTGTCCGAAGTTTCTGGCTCTTGAGAACTCCCAGCTCTTAGCTGTTTCTACTGCTGTATGCCCCCACATTGCTAAGCTTGCTTTTAGTTTGATTTTTTTTTTTTTTTCACTTTGTAGTTACCTTTTGATTTCTTTCTATGGAAGATGAGACTTTAACACTTATGGTTTCTTCTCCATACTCTCAATATTGATGTAACACAAATTTTGTTTTTATCAATATGTAGCTATTAAAACATTACGACTAAGTATTTTTCATAACCAAGTCTTAAATTTATATTATGAATATGTCTTCTCATACTTTGTATTTTTCCTGAAATTAATAACTCCTTCCTTTTTTGCTTATTTTGTTTCTAATTTATCAATAAACAAATCTTCTTGATACTTTCCAACACATCAGATAAACCCACAGATGTGTGTTTTGCCCCCAAAAATCTTTCCTCTGGGAGCCTCCCTGTTGTCTGCAGTGTGGACTGGTCCCTTTCAGGGCCTGCTGGTCAGCCGACATCTTGGAAGTCCCTTCACTGTTCTATCCTGGAAATTTCTTTTGTCTCTCTCTGTTTTGTTGATTCTCTGATCGTTGGATCTCAGATCCTCCTCCTTTGAGATTTATGCTCACATTTAATGGATTCCTGAGGTGCAAGGAAGATACATTTTTTTTTGAGACCATGCATGTCTAAAAATGTATTTGGTCATCGTACTTGATTGATGGTTTGGTTGGGTATGTAATTTTAGGTTGGGAATAATGTTTTCTTGGAATTTTGAAGGCATTGCTCCAAGGACTTCTTACTTTCAAGGCTGCTGTGGAGTCCAGCATCTTTATGATTCCCAGTTCTTTATTATGACCCCCCACACCCACCCCCTGGTCTCTAGAAGCTTTTGGAATCTTCTTATTGGAAGCTTTTGGAATCTTCTTATTGGAAGCTTTTGGAATCTTCTTATTGGAAGCTTTTGGAATCTTCTTATTTCTGGAGTTCTGAAATTTTATATTTCTTGGTATTCTTACATGCCTGTCATTCATTTTATTGGCCATGTGGTGGACTTTTCCAAACCAGAAAATGCATGTTCTGAAGTCCCCTGTGTTCTCTTTTTGGAATACCTATTAGTCGGATGTCATACCTTGTGGGACTGATCCTCGAATTTTCCTTTTTCTCTCCCATATCTCTGTTTTGTAGTCTTTTTATCCTACTTTCTAAGGGATTTTGTTAACTTTATTTTTCACCTCTTTTATTGGATTCTTTATTAATCCTACAATTTTTTTTTTATTTCTAAAAGCTTTATTCTTCTTTGAAGCTTGCTTTTTATGGTATCACATTGCTTCATTTTCTCTTATTTCTCTGAGGGTGTTACTTACATTTTTTGGTTGATGAAGTTTTTTTCTCACATCCTATTTGTTTCATATTTGAAGTGTGGGCACACAGGTATTCCCTTGCATGTTAGGGGCTTTCTTCTAGTATCCAGAGAACCCTGGCTTTGCTTAAATGAAAGATCCATACACTTGAAGGGGCGGGGGGCGGGGGGTGATGGTTGGAAGCTCTGTGTGCATGGGTGGGGCTTGTAACCTGGGGCTTCTCTCTACTATAATTCGCGTCTATAGGGTCTGTTCTCATGCCTGGGAAGTTGGCTCTGGGAAGAGGGTGGGATCTCACTGATCGGGCTTTGACTCAGTCCCCCTGTTTTTAGTAGGGTGCCTCATCCCTGTCCTCAGCTGTGCTTTAGAGTCAGCTCTTCTAGAGAGGAAATTTCCAGTCTCCTGCCTGGATATGCAGGGTAGAGAAGAAGATATGGGGACCTAACTGTTCTTTATATAGATTTTCAACTGGTTCTCCTTCCTTCTCTGAGGTCACCTGGACCTAATTTCCTATTGGCTCCTCACTCCACAGGCTTGAATTTCAGCTTTGTTTGGATTCTTTTGTTAGTTCCCATTTGTTCATCTGTTTTCTGGCTTCGAGGATTTTGTGGCATGTCTGGTGTACTTCTTGTCCCCTCTCATTATTAATTGTCTTCATGCATTTATTTCATATTTTTATATTTATATCCATTTCTGTATACATTCTTTTAGTGTCATTTTAGTACAGTTTCAAAAGGTGTGGGAGGAAAAGGCATGTGTTCAGTGTGCCATGGTTAATGGAAGTATCCAGTGCAGGCTCTGCTTTAGATTGGCCAAAACCAATTTTTTTTCCCTTTACACATTTGTGGGATATTTATATATTTTCTGATGCACAGTAATTCCTATTAAACTGTCTTTTAAAAATATTTTCTAATTTTTACGTATGTTCATTTAACCCTGAAGATTTAATATCTGTTTCTATAAGTAGAAAATCTGACCACCCACTGGATAGTTTAAAGGAGTAATTACCATTCTCATTGAGCTACTTACTTATTTTTAAAAACTTTTGAGATAATTGTCGATTCATAGGAAGTTGTAAAAATAGTACAGAGATGTCCTTTGTGCCCAGTTTATCCCAGTGGTAGTGTCTTTACATGACTGTTACAATATCAAAATCAGGAAATTGATATTGGTACAATCCTCAGTAGTTTTTAAAAGACATTCTTTTACATTTCATATTGGGCAGAAAGTTTACATTGCAAATATATGTGAGACCCATGTGAAACTATTTTGTCTTTCAGCAATTTTTCCAGCTAGTCAAATTACGAAAGCTTGGACTTAGTGATAATGAAATTCAGCGGCTCCCTCCAGAAATAGCAAACTTCATGCAGCTGGTGGAACTTGATGTGTCTCGAAATGGTAAGAAAAAGATTCCACTTGAATTGTCCATTTGTCTCTTCTGGTGCTGCGGGCGATTGTGAGTAAATATAGCTGGATAAATGCTGTTGGAGGTGCTTTTTCTGATGGATATGGGGAAGCTATGTATAAATTTGGGGATGAAATTAATTTAAGCCATTATTGAATGGTTTAATCAGCTTGCAGGTATTTACCAGAAATATTTCATAACACAGTTTTTAGGTGATGATTTTCTCAAAGTAGGTTCAGTCTGATTCAGAGAGTTGGAGAGGGGACTGGGAAGTCATATAACCCAGTCCCCTCATTTTACTGCACGTGACATTGAGAGCTATTGGTGTGGTCATTTGTCCAGTGCTGGGAGGCTGCTGAAGTGAGGGGCAGCCTTCCTGGGGATAGTTTGATTCCTCCGTCTGTGGTTCAGTTGCTTGGTA